TCTTTTCTATCTGTCTTTTTTTCATTGCATGCCTAAAAAACAAAAGCAGAGGAAGACATCTAATTTATGCATTGGAATGAAGATAAAAAACCCTCTAAAATAAGCTGAAAGGTCCTCTCTCAATCACAAAGCCTTTTAAATAACTCCTTTTTCCTGATCAAATACCTGTGTCTTCAAGTATGTAAAAGCTTGTCAAAGAGGAAGGTGATACATTGTTCTTCTAAGGACAGGTCAAGAAGTAGGGGATTTAAATTGAAGTAAGGGAGATTTAGGTTTGACATTAGGGTAGTCAGGGTAGTTAAGCACTGGAATAAATTACCTAGGCTGTGTCTAAACTACATCTATTTTCTCGAAAAAGGGATGTAAATTAGACAATTCGAAATTGCAAATGAAGCTGGGACTTAAATTTCCTGTGCTTCATTTGCATAATAGTGGCCGTGGGTTTTTTTGAAACAGGGCTTTTCAAAAGAAAAATGGCTGTTTAGACAGGGATCGATCAAAAATAAAACCCTTTTTCAAAAGATCCTGTAGGGTTTTATTTTCAATCGATCCCTGTCTAAACAGCTGTTTTTCTTTCGAAAAACCCCGTTTCGAAAAAAACCTCAGCCAACATTATGCAAATGAATCACGGGAAATGTAAATCCCTGCTTCATTTGCAATTTCAAAGTGTCTAATTTACATCCCTTTTTTCAAGAAAAGGGATGCTGTTTAGACACAGCCCTAGTGAGGTCGTGGAATCTTTATCACTGGAGGTTTATAAAAACAGGTTAAACATAGGTCAGAGACAGTCTCAGTGATACTTAGTCCTGCCTCAGTGCAGTGGACTGAACTAGATGATCTGTCAATGTGCCTTCCAGACCTACATATATATGATTCTAAGGATCCTGGGTCAAAAGTTTAGTTGCCAACTGTCCAGGATTGTCCTGGAGGCTCCAGAAATTAAAGATTAATCTTTAATAAAAGATTATGTCATGTGATTAAACCTCCAGGAGTGCCTCCTACCAAGATTGGCAACCCTCATCAAGAGACAAATCTCTAAGAGTGTCTTAGCTGGACCAGCACTTCTCCATTTGTACAAGATCCAAATTTGATCATCTTTATTTTCAAGAAGACAAAACATAAAAACAGTGCTGGGGAACCTTTTTTGGGTTGGAGGCCACTGACCCACAGAAAAATCAGTCAGGGGCTGCACAAAAGTGACAAGCAAAAAAAATGTCACTGAACTGTCCCCCGACTGAGGAGAAAGACACTCCCCACATACTCCTCACACAACACAGTCTAAGTGGGCACTCCTAGGCTCTGGGTGGGGTCAAAAATTAGGGGTTCAGTGTGGGAGGGGACTGCTAGGAAATGAACTTGGATGTGAGGTCTGGGTAGGAAGGCGGGTGCAAAGACTTGGGGGCCGGATCCAGCCCCCAGACCATATGTTCCCCACCCCGATGTAAAACACGTATGCTTTAGGAATAGCCCCGATTGTGAAAAAGAATGGTGGGTGTTTTATCAGAATAATAAATCTGGGTAAACCTACAAAGAATTCCTGAAATTCTTGAAATATCCTTGTTGAATTGAAATTGATCATTACTCTAAAACTTCACTCACAAAATTCCTGAGGAAAAACCTGTGTAGCTGGAAATATTTAAACTTTTTCTTTATTTCTTAAATAGTAAAATATCAAACACCTCTGTAAATGCATGCTTGCAAATATGTCATCTAATATAAAGCTCCTGATATCATTATTGTAATTGCAGTGTGGTGGCTATTTGGTCCCACAATAATAGATACAAGGAGGTGGGAGAGATGATATTTTTTAGTGGAGCAAGTTCTGTTGGTGAAAGAGTAAAACTTTCAAGATACAGAGCTTCTTCATGCAAAGTTTATAAATGATGTAGGATGAAATTTAACCCAGTCTAGAGAGCACCACTTATATCCCACTTAAGCCTTATTGTGAGGGGTTAAATGAGATTTCTATAGTGCATAGCTGTTCCACTCCAAATAAATTACCCTCACCCATACACATATCCCATTCTAAATTAATGCTCCTACCTTATCTTTATTTTCAGAGCCTGATGCCTCAAGTTTGGTCCGAATCACAAATGGTGTTGATAATCTCAGGAGAACGCGTTCAAATGTGGTGCTGATCTTTGGAGAAACTATCTCAAAGCAGTCCTGGAATTTCAACGTTTTGTGAGTGTCACATTTGAGCTGCTTCCTGAGACCTTCCCCAAGCTGGAGAACCAGCATGTTTGGATCAAACATCAGATGGAAGGGGAAAGCTCTACAGAAGGTGCTGATGTTTATCCTCAGGTCTGAGGGAGACTGAGATGATCCACGTGGAAGTGCTTTTGTGATATTTGCATTTTCACGTTCTTTGATAAGAAAAGTAAGACAGCTGCAATTACCTGGGTTCGATCCCTCTGAGTACAATTTATCATTTGTGATTTGTTCCACTTCCACTTCCAAATGGTAGATTTTCTTTGCTGCTGCCTTTATCATTCCCAGCATTGCAAATCCAACAATATGATGAGGGTGAAAGTAGTGGAGCATGAGGTTGCCTTCGGGGAGCTCTTTGCATAGGAAAGAAGGGGATTCCAGAGTGGCCTGTCTTCCAAATGAAATTCTAATGTGTTCCAGCAAAGCGTCAAAGCCATTGAAGAAGTCCTGCAATGTGCCACCTACAGCACGAAGAACTCTTTCATTCTCATCAAAGCAGATATTGAAGAATTCCTCCCCAAATTTTTCTTGCATCTCCTCTAACTTCAAACCTACAGGGCAATGGTAAATATATGTCAACAATGTGGTGGGAATACTATTGTGCAACATTTTTCCTTTTTAGTCTGTATTTGTTTGGGTGTTCCGCCAGCCACCAGACTATGATTTCTCTCCTAATCTAATGGCTTCTTCATGAAGGACACCTAATAATAGAAGTCCGATTTCACTAGGCCAAAAATTACCAGATTTCATTTGGTCTCTTTTTGGTGCCCCTAGATGTCTGCATCAAACCTCATCATTCTGGGCTGAATTTGGGGGTTTTTTTCTGTCCATCTTCCTCATTTCCCAGTCCCACTCTATCAGCCATGGTTTGTGATTCATGCACTGTTACCCTTTCTCATTCCCATTACAGCCCAAAGGATTACACTTTCCTCATGCTTTTATATTTTACATACTACCACTTTATATGAGCACTCTTTAAGATGAGAGGGTATGTCTACACTACCCCCCTAGTTCGAACTAAGGGGGTAGTGTAGACATACCCAGAAGGACTAGACACAACTTCCTTCAGAATATTTTAGTACCATTTTGAATTGGACAGTGGGCTCAACAATTGTGTTGCTGTTCTTCTTCCACCTCATTGTCTCTGCAACACTCCCAGTCCCCACTGAGTCAAAGACTGGGACTAGAAATCAAGCCTAGAGTTTTCTGCAGAAAAACATAAAATCCACAACTGGCCAGTCAGATATACCTCTTCTAGCTGACTTTACCTTTGAACCAGAAAGAAGCAACCTTAGAGCCTGAAATACTTGTCTGCACTGACCATTAGAGATTGCTAAAGAAGATGAAAAAAAACCCCTCCTTTTCTCTAAATTGTTTGAATTTGAGAACATAGCTTGTGCAATTCTTCCAGGCTTAGCCACCTGGAAAAGGCTTCTGTGCCAAGGCACGAAGGAACTAGTGAATCATCCACCAATAATGTACTAGATCTTCCCATGTTCCCATCACAGAATCTCAAAAGGTTTTCATTTCTGAAAGGGGATGATACCAAACATTTCATAAAGGCACCAATAAAAAGACGGACAATGTGCATCAAAATGCTGCTTTGGTTTGCTAGTAACTATCTTAAAGGCAACTTAAGAAAATTCCATTTTAAGATGATGACTAAATATGTTCATGTTTCTGCTATTTTCTAGGAATGCTCTTTTAAGCTTTATTTGCATTTAATCATCATATCAAATGCTGGAGTTACGATTTGTGTAGAATATATTTGTCCAGTTACCAACTGTGGTATGATAGTTTTCATGTGAATTATTAGAATATATACCCACTATAAGAGCATGCAGAGAAAATGAATACAGCTAACAAAAAATGTCCTCTGGTGCATCATTTTTATTAAATGTAACGCACGGCGGTTAAATCCATGACAGCTGGTCCTAGTTATTCCAATAGAAATGAAGAATACAATCATTTGTTTCCTCCGGGTACAATTCAGATCCTCATTATAACACATGTTAAATGTGTCTTATGTTATCTTCAATAAAATACCAGTGGATCTCTAAAGACAATTACACCATTTGTTTGGATAACTCATAAGCTTCTGAACTTGGAAGAACCATGCAATTAAAATAGTTTCATGTCCAGAGACATGAGAGAAGAATAGCAGAAGTTATTAATCTATTGTTTGCAGAACAAAACTTTAATAATCTCAAACCAGTATTTGAATAAGCATTTGGCTATAGTTAAAATAACTAAAGCTATAGAAATTACTTATTTTTTGGTTTGCTGGAAATTCTGAAAATTAAACCGAAAAATTATTTTAGATTCATGCAAAATTGATTTTGTTTCAAAATGTTTAGCAAATTGAAAAGTTAAAAATAATCATTGTGGGTCAGACAAAATGTTATGTTTGACTCAAAAAGAAACTGTTTCTATTGCAGGTTTTTCTAAACAAAAAACAAAAAAAACCTGAAGGATGTAGAGAAACAAACATTCTTTTAAAAAGCTAAAAAATGAAATGTTTCCTTTAAAATATGCATTAAAAAAAACTTGAAACATTTCCTTTTGTCTTCACAATTTGGCAAAAAAAAATTAGAAATTTGCCAAGCATTTTGGTGTTAACAAATCTGCATTTTTTACTGACGAAAGTTTCAGACAAATTTTTTTGCCCAATTCTAATAGTGATTGGTATTTACAAAGCACCCTTAATCCAAACTGATTTACAAAGTATATGTAGGGATCACTTTGTCCACATCTGATGTGACATGATGAGATTAAAAACACTACATAACAGTTCAAGACAGCACATGAAGAAAAACAACTTATGCAGGAAAATTAATAGGATACATTTAGCTGATAGCAGAATGCAATTATGTATACTGGAATTTGGCCAGAAAACCTGAGGTCAGAACTGTGGCTTTATGGCTAATCCAAATGAGAATACTTCTAGTAGTACAATGCTCCTAATAGAGGAAAGGGTATCACCACTACTTTTGCAAAACACAGGATATTAACTTCCTCCAGGCAAGTACCAAACCCAACCAATGGGGTTATTTTGTGAAATTAGGTTTGGTGATATGGCATAGGGTATGCACTGCCTTTTTAAACATTTTAGGCATGCATCAGTGGAGTTACACCTGCTCCACTGATAGAAATGTAGCCGTGTTAGTCTGGGGTAGTTGAAGCAAAATGCAGGACAATGTAGCACTTTGTAGCATAGCAGTGAATCAGTCACCGAAAAACAATAGTGGCCAAATTGGACCAGATCTGTGTTTTTTTCTAATCCAGAATTCAAAGCCCACAACCAGAACTTAAGAGAAGGGTAAAAGAAAACCTGTAGTAGGCAGGTATAGAATATCCCATCTATGGGGATCAGAAAGAAACTTTCCCTATGAGTTAGAAGCCAATTTATGCCTTGAGGCATGAAGGTTTATTTACAATTTACTATTATAACTCAGAGAAACAAAGTTAGGTAAAATGAGGTATTATCTTTTACTGGACTAGCTTCTGTTGGTGAAAGAGAAGCTTTTGGGCAACAACAGAGCTCTTCTTCAGGTCACATAAATTGTACTGTAATTCTGAATGTTCTCATTATAAAAAAAACAATTATCATCCAATTTTCAGTCATAATAAGCTCTTACCTTTAGTGATATCGAGTAGCATAGAGTTTCACAGGCTATTTGTGCTTTGTATGATAAAATATTTCTTTTACTACTTTTAACTCGACCATTTTTCTATTTCACTAAGCATTCCATTCAGGTATGTCTACACTACAGAGACGATCGAAGCTGCTGCTGTCGATCTTCGAACATTTGAATTAGAAGGTCTAGTGAAGATATGCTAATTCGAATTGAGAGGGGCACTCCGGTCGATGCCGGTAGTCCTCCTTCCACGAGGAGTAAGGGAAGTCGAAGAGAGAATGTTCTCCCTTCGATTTCCTGCAGTGTGGACAGCACCGAAAGTTCGACTTCAGCTACGCAATTAACATAGATGAAGTTGCGTATTTTAATTCAACTTTCTCCCATAGTGTACACATACTCTTATTCTTGCAATCCACCTACTATCTCTATAAAGTAAATTATTTTGTTTCTCTTTATCTCATCCCCTCGTATTCATTTCTTGTATACAGACCCTTTTTTCATTCATTTTCATTCGCTCTTACACAGAATTTTTCCCCAGGCCTGTTACGTATGTTTAGGTATATAAAAAGGAAACACTTTACCGTCACTGTTAGAGGCATAGGAATTGCCATATACGTTCAAATCAATGGTCCATCTGCCAAGGCATTTTGTCACAAAAGTTGCTAGTGCCAAAGGCTTTGGATAAACTGTATAATCTGATTGCCAATTATGCAATAACAAGATTTGGGGGAAGCTTGTCCCTAAAAGCAGCAATTTATAGCTGGCAAATACCCCTATATAAGAGGATAATAGTAAGTCTTTGGATATTTTTAGTTAATATAAAAGACTGATTTAATAAAAATTTCTCCTAGACTTTGTCTTAATGTCTGAGTTGCAATATTTTAAGAGTCCTACAAGTCAATTATATATTATATCAAAAATATCTACATTATTTGTTGCCATTCAATTAAACTGTGTACCTCCATTCTTTTTCTTTTATTTTGAGGAAGGGCAAATGGGAACTCCTGACTGATCTTTTCTGTACCCTTCTATCATGTCATAGCTCCAAACTACATAGAGCCACACTTTTCTCTCTTCTTATAGTATTTTTGTGATTCTTCACTTTTATTGTCTTTCTCTGATCCTTTTACATTTCTGCTACTATATTTGTGTGGAGGAATGCCCAAAATTTAACACACTATTTGAGGAGTGAGTGTACAAGCTATACAGGAGCGGCCCGAGGCGGGCTACCGTACCTGGCACCCCAAGCAGAATGCGAGATTGGCGCCCCCGCGTGCACGTCCGTCAATGGATTGATGTCATCATCGGGTGCCCCTGATTCTATATATTTGAAATCGTTATCAGATTCGGTGTTATTCTCTGTTCCTTTCTTAATACACTCTAACATAAAAGAAATTGCCACATACAAGCTCTACAGAATCAATAAGAAGGTGAAAGATGTGATCAAAACAACAAAGTTCACTAATCAGCCACAGATCATATCAAAACAATTATAACCCATCCCCAGGGCTGGCCTTCCCATAAGGTGAACTGAGGCAGCTGCCTAGGTGCCAGACTGTGGGGGGGGGGAGAACGCCACTAGGACCCAGAGAACTGAGACCTTTCAAAGTTTTGGCCCAAGTGAGGGGGTATGGGGGCATCATTTGAGCCTCCTGCCTCAGGTGCCAAAATGTTGTGGGCCGACCCTGCCCATCCCCATTATTCTTGTAGCTTGAACCAAGGAGACAGCAGCAGCTAATAGTACATGTTCCAGTGGTTGTCACCCAACTCCATTGTTGTATACTAACACATTCTATCTGGGCTATTCCTTAAGAGAACTTAAGAGTCATCAACTGGCTGGTAGAGGTGAGATATAATTTGCAGTTCTAACATTCATATCATGAACAGAAGACTAGATTCTGTCCTCTTAGGTG